TATATATTGTACAATTACCATACATACCATACATCGAATGAACTAATTATAATTATAAATAATAATAACAACACACTTCGTACACTTCAATGTACTCGTGATGATACTCGATTTATTTTCACCACAATGAATTCTTCAGAATCTGTCCAGCTTTGATTAATAAATAAATAAATCAATACCAACAAGTAATTAAAGTCCTTCCATACTTAAAATTCCTTGTGAGGCTTCCTGAATTTATGAATTGATTGTACGTGTATCATTAACAATCCGTCCACTAATTTCACCAGAGTTCGCCAAGCCGAGCAAATACAAATCAAATAAATGTTTCCCGTGTCTCGAGCGAGAAATAAAGGAAAAAGATAACCGAGCAAATATAAGGTTTCCGATACAAAGTTTCTCGCTATTTATCAAAATTCGTCAGGAGACACGTTGCCCAGATATCGATTCGATGTTGCTCGACTGTATCACGGCTGAAAAAAACGAAAGCTGGCGCGCGGCTGGCAGAAGGGTAGAAAAAGCGCGATCGTGTTCCATAACGAAGGCAGCGGATATTAAATTCCATCGGCAAACGTGGAATTCCCATGTGAAACGCGGGACTTCCGTGTTTCGACTTTCGTTTGCGACCGCCGGGCCGTGCCGACGACGAAAGCCGAGAGCGCGCTTCTATTGCGTAAATACGCGCGAAAAACAAAGCTTGTTTGCAAAGGAGGGACGGGGCCTGGTCTCGAACCATACGGGAACAATCGTTCGAACACGCGAAACGCGCGGATCGTCCCGACGAAGAGCGAGAATCCGCGTTTCAGATTCAAAAATATTTTCACACTTCTTAGCGCTTTTCGAACTAATCGGTGAATTCTAATTTCCGAGGAATTAATTCAATTAATTGAACGCCCGTCGAGCGAGCTTTCATTATCCGAACGAAGAATCATAGAGTGGAAAATGAATCAATTCCCGCTGCGCGAATTATTCGCCCGGCCGACGTGTTCGGATAAATTAAATTTCGCCGTAATACACATAAAAATACATTAGGCAAACGCTTTTAATTGCATTCGCGAGTGTGCCAATGTCTGCTAATTTCGCTGTTACTCGAAAATACAGATAATAAGTCTCTTTATTCCCGTCGAGCGAGCTCTCATTATCCGAACGAAGAAATCACAGCGTGGAAAACGAATCAATTCCCGCTTTGCGAATTATTCGCACGCTAATAGTGTGAAATATTTTAGAATTATCGTTGTTAATGGTACTTCGCGAGCAAAATGTTCCAAAGCACTTTGACAACACATGCAATTCCTAAAACATCAAATTTCAAAATTTGTATTACGTACGCTCCGACGAAACGCCAAAAGATAATTCCAAATATTTGGTCCATAGTAACTCTCTTTCCAAAAATCTCCTGCGTCTTCCACGATCCTCCGGCAGCGAGCGAAATGAACTTTGTGAAGCGAATGAAATAAAGCGGCAAAGTAGCAGTTGACCGCAGACGGGTCTAATAATTTTTTAAACCACGCTCCGCGGCGTTACGCTGCGCGTCGAAATAAAAACGAGGCCGATAAACTGTATGCACGCGAGTGCCAGCTCGAGCTCCACTTTTCACGCGCGGATGATTCGAACGTGGCGACGATGAAACGTTAAAACTGGTCTATAACCACGGCCCCGCCGCCTTTGGCGAACAAAACCGCACCACGAGAACAACGCAACGAATTTGCCTTCTTCCTTTCGTCTTCTCCTCTCTTCTCACTTCACTGTATCACTGCGTCACCGCGTTTGCGTATCCGAGGTTTTTTTTTTTTCTTTTGTTTCTTTGTTATTACAAACTGTACAAAGTGTCTCTCCGCTTCGTGCGATCGTACGATACGATATCGCTACAATGGAAACGATTAGTTCAATGAATTCTCTGTTCGTCGCTTCAACCATCAAAAATTTCTTCGATATAATGTTGTATTTATATTTATATATATATATATGTTTATGTTCATTTATACGTGTATCTTTCTCTCTCTCTCTCTCTCTCTCTCTCTCTCTCTCTGTGTTACATATACGTTCTCAATCATTCTCTCACGATCTCGCTCGTTCATCCCCCCTTTCTTTCTCACGCGACAGGCAGAAAGTTGTTCTTCCTACAAGCGCCAGTAGACTGATAAATATCACGGAGTGATATGTACATTAGGAGAGACCTACGGAGTAATTTGAAATGTTAATATAACGCAATGAGAGTTTCCTCGACGGATTCCGTATCGATTCAGATCGGTTCGGAACGGCGTTCAAGTTGATATGCATTTCTTCCCACTGGCCCTCTGGATAGAATAAACATTATCTCGTCGGGGCGGGAACGATATGTCAATGATACGTGATATTCAATCCTTAATTAATAATATTCGTTCTATCGGACAATCGATAATTTCAATTTCAATAATTAATCGCGTGAAAGGAGACCGGGTTTCCTCCCCTCCATTGATCAAACGTGAATCGAATAGAAAGCGTCGTAAATTCAAATAAATTCGTATAAACGATGAAGGAGGATCCAATTGAAATGAAGGGGATAATGATCGCGCGTTGATAATTGAAAAAGGAAAACGGAGAGAAAAAGTGTGCAAAGTTCGCTGGATCTGGAATTCTTCTTCGTCTCTTCTTTCCCGGGAATGTACGACGTGACAGGTCGGAAAACCCTTTGAATTTCCACTTTCGATTTGTAGGAAGAACCCGTGCGCACGTGCCGCCGTTCGATCGCACAAAAAGATGGTCCACGAGGCCGAGTTAAAATTCCCCACCGATAATAATTCGTTAATAATTCGTTAAGCTCATCAAAGTGGATATGTACATCGATAATTCCTTTCTTGCCGCGCGACTTCTTCGTCTTCTGTACGATCGATCGTGTGATCTTCTCCCCCATTCTTCTCATCTTTCCTTTCAAGGTACTCTTCGCCCTTTATTGTTCCTTCGTTGTTATTCCCGCAGGGCTCTCGATCACGCGCTTCATCGAATTCAACGATTGGGAATTCGCGATGGTTTTTCGTCGTCGTGTCGAAGGGAAATGATTCAAGCGAGATTTTCGGATACGGGTTCCCCTAATACAGTGGCAGTATTCACTTGTTAGTGTCGTCGACCTTAATTTAGATTACATTATAAATTACCAACGTCATATCATAGACAATATCATAGACTTTTCATATTCAAAAATGAAACGTCCCTCGCTTCAGTTTCTCAGGCAGCGACACTCGCGCAGCTAGCGTAGAAAGACACCACTTGTCGATATATTCGAACGAACGTTCGAAGAGCCGACGTGACGTGAAACGCCTAATGACAATTATCGTTGTCATTCTTCGTTTTTCAAACCTTTTTGCATATGAAATGGTAACAAATAATCGCGTCGGATCGATGGCCTCTTTACCGAACCACTTTCGGCCGCATGCACATTTATCACTTACGTTTCCTATGGCGATTTATGTTTCACAGGCCACCAGAGTGACTGTGTTTTTGTTCTTCTTTTTTGTGTTATATTTTTTTACTTTTTTCCTTTTTTTCTTTTTTTTTTTTTTTTAGGTGAGTAACGTTATAAATTTTCAGAACAACGTGTCGATTTACCGTGCGATCCAGCGTCCCTCGTACGCCACCACTCACCAAACTTTCATCCGCCGATTTCTTTATTAGTATCGATACCTCTCTTTATTTATTATCGTCTGCTATTTGTTCTCCTCCGTGTACTCTCGTTTTTTCTAACAATTATAAATTTCTCATGTTCAAACTGTTCCACGTTCGACGCGGTTCATGCATCCGATAAACATTTGCCCGTTACATAATCGACGTGTTCTTTTTGTTTTACTTAAAACACAACAAATTTCTGATGTCTAGAAAACCAACGAAGATAACTGTAACAATAATTAATCTCTCATTTAGAGGTCTCGTGTATTTCTTCGTATATCTTTTCCTTTCTAGCAAAAATAGATATGCAAGAATTAAAACTGACCTAATTGATCACAGTTGACTACAGAAACATTTTTGATCGAACGATCGACCAGAAATAATAATAATTCAGTGAACCAATAATAATTAATCTTCAAATAGTATTGTCGAGTCATAAGATAAATCTAATTTACGTTAGAAACCTAATTTTGTAATTTACATTCTCTTGTGACTAAGGATTATTAAATTAAAGAGAAAATTCCAAAATTAAGTACCCAATCGAAAATTCTAAATTGTCCACAATCCTTAAATGAAATCACGGACAATGGTAATAAACGTAATGAAAATTGAAGGTTCCAAAATTAAGATAAACGTTGACGCGATCTTTTTCGCGATAGCTTAGTAAATCTAATTAGCAAGTCTAATTTAATTTCAACAATTCCTGCGAATTAGTTCTCTCAAAAACAGAACAAAGTACAGGTTAAGGAAAAGAAAAAAACCGATCGACGACAAAATGCAAAATCGATGCGTGATTATTCGCGCCAACTATTTCCGATCGTCGATCACCGGGCAAAAATTCGCTCGTAAAAGACGAGCGAAGGTATATCTACCGGGTAAATGGACCGTGTCTATTCCTTCCTATAAACGTAACTTCAGGTCACGCGAGCTTCTCTCTCTCTCTCTCACACACACACACACACCTGCACAAACACACACACATACACACATACAGAGTCTTATTCACCGCGTATACGTGGCTGCCTCGCAGGACGACGACACATTCGACTCGTGGTAACGCAAGTTTCGATTCGCGGGACATCGAGCAAACGTCGCGAATCGATAGGTCGAACGATGGCGAGAAACGACGTCGCGCGTTCGCCGAGAGGAATGCAAGCTGCTTGAAAACGACGCTCTCTAATAAATTTTTACGCTATATAAAAGGTTACATCCTTTAACATCTCTTTACACGCTATACTTATTTATATTTATATATTTATATTACATATATTATATATAATATAATTATATATATAATAATATATTATATATATTATATATTTTTATATTTATATATTTATATTTATATGAAGTTCTTTTTCCTTGTTTCTTTATACTTGCAACCTCTAGTGGTATTGTCAAACATTTATGCACTTCGGCTAAGCGCATCTTAAGCTTATTAATAGTTTCAGGGAACTTAAACGTAAGCCAGTGGCTCGACGAATTCCTTTTATCCCCAACCCTCCTTCCCCATCCAATCTTATATCATTCATCCTCTTTCTTTCTTCAGACAAGTCGAAACGGGGAGCTAATACGTATCTCTAGGTATCTCTGCGTGTGTATTCAACTATCTCGATCGCTGATTTCCACGCCAGGATCAGATCACCTTGCTAGATATTCCCTGGAAAAATTTCACGCGCATCTCCCGGCTTTCCGTTCCTCGCCGATGTTGAACCCAAGTCTCGCGAAAAATAAACCGCGCCGTGTTTCATCTCCGACTCGTTGGCATCCGCCGGATCTGTTTGAATTCCGTCAACGAGCTGGGAACGTTTTCCAGCTCGTGATTCGCGCGATTCGCGACGCGATGGAACGTTGGTTCAATCGTCGTATCCTCTCGATGATCACGACGGAACTTCGTATTGCTGATTCATCGAAATCGACGTGACGTCTCTCGCTGTTTTCGAGCGTTCTGTTCGTTCTTGCGTGACGGAGCGTTCGCTGGCGTGTTGGAAATAGTGTCTCGCGGCCAGTTCGTTGCATCTCGCGCGATTTTCCAAAGTCCACGGGGCCACGTGTATTCTGAACGTGACGCGAGTGCCGTTGCGGCTGATGTCACGAGCTTGTTTGCTGACAGTATCAATTTCACAACGGCGCGCGATTTATTGAACGTGCTTTCCGCCCATCGGCGGCCCGTGCTAGGAACGTTTTGTTTCGTATCGGGCCTCTCGGCCTCGTCCTCCGGATGATCTCCCGCAGATATGTACTCGTTTATTGTGCTTTACGTAATTATACTTGCGCGATTGCAGTCCCTCGCTCTTTGACAGAGAAAGGAGATCGAAGTAAAATGAAGGTGTTAAAAAGTTCGTTCAAACCTCGAGGTGATGATAAAAATTTTGTACATTCTAAACCGAAGGTAATTATTGTCTGACAGAGAAAAGAGATTGAAATGAAACAATATTGAAAAATTCGTTCTAACCTCGCCGTGTACGTTCTAATCTGGAAATAATTATTGTCTCTTGTCCTTTGGAAATAAGAATAATAACAAAAGTCAGACTGTCCCGTGAATTACTAATTATAAAGTTAATTGCTCGTTTCTAGAGATAGTTTCAAGTAGTACGAGTCAAATTTTCAATCATACAAGCGCAGTCTTTAAATCCACTTGATAATTAATAGAAGAACGAAGGATCATTTTCACCACGAGTCACACGATCGCGATATCGATTTACCTCTGTTTCTGACTCGACTCGTCAGTTTGAAGTGGATGATGTACTGTGACCTTGGTGTACTAACTTGGTCTGACTTGGTGCAGCTTGGTCGTCGAGGGGCTGTTCCACCAGTTCCCGTTCAGCTCGCCGATCATAGAAAGCCGGATAAGGTTCCAGCCTTCTAGTTCTCTGTATCAAGTGTCGTTCGTGTCAGCGTGCTTGTAGCTGAGATTTTTCCGCTGCAAGAACATGTGGATCTCGCGGAAACTCGGCCTGTCCACGTCGTTCCTGTGCCAACACTCGCGCATCAACTCGTAGATGTCTTTCGGGCAGTTCTTTGGTAATGGAAGAATAATCTGCGAAAAAATATGGGTCGTTCGATCGCAGTCACCGTTGAATTGTTAGAGCATTGTCAGATTTTGATTTCAGATACTGGATAATTCTGACGTAGCATCGTTGAATCAGAGAAACTGAGAGTATTTAATTTTATTTTGTATTTTACACTCTAGACTGTTGAGAACTATGACAGTTATAAAACTACTTGCACTACTTGGTTTTAAAATTCTTTAGTGAATTGAATTCTATTGCTAATACCCGTGACGAAGAATGGGAAACTCAAAATGAAATAAAATATCAATAATTTTAATAATCTGATATAAATTATTACAATTATCCACGAACCAGCGATACCATTCGTTGAGATTACTAATAAAATTGAATTAAATTGAAAATGTACCGAGATCGTATAATTTAAAATTATAAATTATGATAATCTCTAGTATCCAATGACACTAGTTCTGATCATTTAATATCACGATTAAATTTAAATTTCTTGTGCAGAAAATTAACAGAATATTGTTCGTGGATTTCAGCTCTTTCAACAGAAAAATTGTTCAATTGAGAAGAATTAATCGGGCGGTTGGGAACGAACAGCGCCATTCATTGCAATGAAAGGTTTAGAATGGATTAATAGCAGGCATTCGTTATATTCATCGGTCCATATACGCGAATATGACGAGAGAGAAAAATACGGGGTACTTACCCTTCTATCATCCTCTTGATAAAAATAAGTCGCGTTCTCGACGATGCGATGGTCAGGCAGTTCTTCGAATGGTTGTTCTCTCGCGAACGTTAAGATCTCCCAGAGCGTCACTGCGAAAGACCATATGTCGCTCTTCGACGTATGTCTTCCCTAAATTCATCACACGTAATTATTAGACCAGAGATTTATATCTATGCAAATTAAACTCGAGAATTTAATGAAATATAATTCTGTGTGGAATATAGCAAACAATGTAATACAATATTAAATATTTATACACGATATAAAAATCGTTTTACGCAGCAAATGTTATAAGAATTGCTACATTTTAGGTATTTTTTTATTTTCAAATATACTTTTGTACTTTTCGTATTTTTCATGTTACAAAAAGACTCGCACTCTAGATATTTTATATTTCTGTTTTCAAACATATTTTTCTGTATTTCATCCTATGCGATTTTGCGCTTCAGTGTCTCCCGTAAACACGAAAAATTTAGTAAATCACGTACTCACGATTACGTTGAAATAATCAAACAGAAGAATTAGTACGTCGCTCGTGCTTTTCGCGAAAAATCGATAATTCGTATAATCTGTCAATCATGTTTTTTTTTTTTAAACAATATTTCATGCATCGAAATATTTCATACATCGATTTTATCCTATTACACACATGGAAAGCTTCGTTTTAAACAACGGCGTAACGACAGTGACCAGAGTGCACAAATGAAATATTCGATTTTCGAAAAGTTAAATTGAACGGGCGATTGATTTAATTTTTAATTGTTCGTTGTTCCGTCGGGAGAAAATACAAAACGGGAGAAATATTAAAAAAAAAAAGGTATTTCCTCCGGTTTTGTTCCGTAAATCCCCTGTTCAAAGTAGAAATCTATTTGCCAGGCGGTAAGCACAGCAGGTGGTATCGTTGCTTGACGAGAAATTACTGGAACTTAAGTGCTTCGGTACCACTCTATCTTCGCCGTATTGCCTGTAGTACGCCGCAAGCAAGTTTAGGAAACACGCATGCGGCAGAAACCCGCGCGACTCGTAAGCCGGCGTGCGTGAACGTTGCGAGGCCGCGATAAATTCAACGCGATCGTTAAAGTAATCGTCACGCTGATTAATTCGACGTCGTAATTAGCTGCCGTAATTAAAAGTTTCAGTGAAAATCGAATCGTCGCTCAACTCGGTGCCCGGCGTGCTTAATTTTTCATCGAGGCTTTAGTCGTTATTTCGACGGTTTGCGTATATTAAAATTTTGTTATAATTCCCGGACTATAATTATTCGTAATTTCACACTGGATCAGCAATGTCAATTAATTCCACTATTTTTAATATTGAAAAGGTTCTTTTTTTTATCATTTTGATTAACCCATCAAGGAATCAAGTCTATGTAAATTGTCAAACCATGAGTAAAAAGGAAAAACACGTACAAAAGATATTTTTGTACAATCCGAAAGAATATTCTTTCCATCCTGAAAAGTTAAAGAATCGTTATTTAATCTTGACTTTGCGAGCTTTCCGCGTGGGTCGACGTAGTCTTTTTATTCCAGCTGAAACGTTCAACTCTTAGCGCGAATGAAGGGACATTTTCCCCGTGCGGTTACGCATTAACTTTAGTATAACCCAGTTCGCGAGAGAACGACAGAGAACCGAAGAGAAAGAGAGGGAGAGGGAATCGAGGTTGAACGTCGTAAAGTTTACGGGAGCAAATCGCGGGACATTAGTTCGCGCCGGCGTCCAACTTAATAAAGTCAAACGTTAAATCATTAAATCGACGCTAATTTCGTATAATTCTTGGGGAGGCGTTCGGCACGCACGCGTGCTCGCGCGCGCATGGCTACGGAAACGTGGACTCGTTTCATTAACACGGGCACAATGGCATAGGACGGATAAACGATGGCAATAATGAAACATTAACGACGCAGTCAATTCGAAATGACTACGTGAACGACCGACAAAATACTATATCGCCCGCTCGTTTCCCATTTAGTCGAATTACCATTTAGCTATCAATTTGCCTCTGCACGGATTTCATTCATAGACGATTTCCGATGCTAATGGCGTTGATAGGTCGATCGAAGCTTCGATCTAAGCCGCATCAACGGAATAAAATACTAAGGATGAGTATTCTTACTGTTGGATTCATTGGAATTTTCGAGTCCATATATTTTCGTTCGTGAATTTATTAACAACTGTAATAACATTAACAATGCACAGAATGATAAAATATGAAAATATTTGAAATATATTATTAGAATGCGGAATTTTTTGTAAGCGGAATCTAAATCGAAATTTATTCTGTTACCCCTGAGCGGGAGGTTTTCGATCAAACATAAATATTTGAATGCATTTAAATTCCAAGAGAATTATATTATAATTATATTTTATTTATAATTCTCATTTATTTCAAACGAATGGAACAGTATTTTATGTCTAAAAAAATTTTCAGTGTTTTCAAATACTTTCGAAAACATTTTGCCACGGGCAGTAAATCTTCTTATATATATTTCAAATAAATTTCCTTAATAATCATACTTAACACTACTAAATGACTAAATGAAATGTTTTTGGTGTTGAATAACAATTTCCAAAAACCAATTGTGACTATTTTAAAGATATATAATTTTATGTATCTTATATGCCGTTAGGTGCCTGTTGCTATACATTCCACAATGTTCATTCAAACTCATATTTCAACAACGTATGTGTATCCTATTTGACAATCTCTCCACCCTATTTTACTTGGCAGATAAGCGGTTCAAAAGTAGTGAGAATTTTTTGATTGCTGGCAGTTTTGTTCTCGTGCTGGAACGACAAGTGAAACAAGCCTGTTCGTGATCAGACAAACGACGAGCCGCTCGGTCTCTGTCTTACGGTGGTAATTGGGATCGTGGCGAATATTTGGCGAGGTGCGAGTTTCGTGTTAATTGGATGCATTACAGCTGCAACTGTTAACGCTAGTTTCTCTTTAATGACAAGCCTTCGTGCTTTAATTAAATGATAGCGGGTAATGTTGAACTTAATGTCCCGTTTTACGTAATCTTTTGCTTGCCTTCTCTGTTTCGTTATTTTCGGCATGATAACATCAGTTTGAACTATTGCAAGAAATATTCATATTATAATGTTCAACCATTCTACAATTTTTGTCAATTTAATTGTAAGTTACATAATCATGTTTAAATATATACTATTGTATTCCTCTGATTTTAAACAGCTTAAACTAAACGTAAATAACATTCTATTACGTATGCTAGCTAGGTGATGTGAATATTTATTTAATAAATATTTACTTGAATTTTTAAAAAATATTTTAATAAATATTTTTACAATTTTAAAAAATATTTTAATAAATATTTTTACAATTTTAAAAAATATTTTAATAAATATTTTTGCAATTTTAATAAATATTTACTTGAAAATTCGAAAACTAAAAATATATTTTTAGATGGAAAGAAGTTCAAAATTCGTATTCCTATACTTCAGATCGGTCATCTTGCGTATGAGAATTAAACATTTTTAAAACAAATATTACACATTACTCTTGTTAAATGTTTTCTAAAAGTCGTTACACAGAAGCTATTGTTAATTATAAACATACGATAAATTTAGCAAAAGAATTTCCTTCACCTATATTCTCACTGCAGTACATGTCGCTCATGTTCCCTTCGACGATTAAAATATACATTTCAACCTACACACATGTCAGGTTCTAGCGCTCAGGTCAACAAAAATAAGTGCGTAAATAAAATCTTAACGTTAATAAATCTACCAACAATACGTAATAAATTCACGAGTGACAGCGTACCTCGAGCCGAAAGTACCATCGTCAGAAATCCTTCGACGTACATATAAATATCGACATCCCTCTCTTTTTTGATCCCTCCACCGTCAATCCAGCGGCCGAGACGAAACGATCGTCGGTTAAGCAGCAGATACATATTCGTTGGACATCGAAAACGAATTCACCAACTGCGTTTTCTGTTCGGGACTTTTACGATGGTTTTCGCGATGACACGCGGGCACGCGGGGAAACAGCGAATAAGCCCGATTCGTTAATGCCACGCGACCGCAGACAGCTCTATCGGGCTGATGCTTCGCGGTTTCGCGGATCGACAGTTCGATATCGACGGCTACGGACGAGAAATTAAAAACAGGATACACGGGAATAAAACACGCCGGGGCCTGGGAGCGAGAGCGCCACCGTTCGTTACAGTGATATATACCGGCATACCGTTCGCTGCCAATAAATTCACCGGTAACCGCGCCACGCTCTACGTGGAATAACGTATTTTCGCGACTTCATTCCTCGCGTGGCCCCGGCCCGCCAATGTTAACCGCCTTATATTATTTTTGAACAACGATAACGACCGCCACGTCCGGCTAATAGTACGAACAAATTAACAAACGGGGAAAGAACAGAGAGCGCGAGGCTCTCGTTCGAATGGAATTATCGCGTCGTGTCGGTTTATGATCTGGAACTGGTTCAGCTGACAACGGGGGTAATGGTTTCTCGACTGGTTTTTATGAATTAATCTCAGTGACACGTTCGCGTAACAGTTTTGTTAAGTGCACTCGTTTGTGAAACGTGTCTTTCGCCAGACGAAATTCCTTTTGGTTCGAAATTTGTTTGACGGCGACTGGCGACGCGTACGTATGTTTGTCATTGATATGTATGCGTACATGTGCAATTTTCGATTTCCATGTGTGGGAAATTTCGTATTATGAAAATGCTCTTTTCGTATTATAAAAACTATGAAAGATTATATAGAATATTTATAGAAAGATGAAATGAATCTCATCCGTAATCTAATGATAAGTGTTCTTTCTTAAGGTCTTTTATTTCAAGAATTTCTATTCCGCTACGGAGTTCAAGTCTTTTTTGTCGAATAGTGTTCTTCGTCCTTTTCAAATATCACATTTTCCAAAGAATATACATGTATCAAAATTATGCTTGTCAAAAGGTAGGAATTGGGTTCTTAATAATTTCGATGTATGTTTTTTTTTAGAAAATATAAAGTTTTAAAGAAAAAAATATGAAGACTGTAAAATTATAAAAATACAAAATAACTCTCTATTCTTTCGGTTAGAAGATTTTAGTCTATTATATTTTATACTCGTTTTTCGGGGGTTGCAAGTCCGTTATATTCTCAAGTATAATAAATGTCTACAATAACCTATAGTGGTTCGATAATTTCTCAAAGCGTCAACATCGCGCTTTCTTTCAAATACAACATTGTTCGTCGCGAATATAAATTCTACCCTTTGGTACAAATTCTCATTTAAAGGAGAAATTATTCTCATTGAAATCTCTCGTGCCTCAAGAACAACATTTATCGCGAAACGACCTAATAGTCGTTTATTTTCTGGTTAAAAAATGCAAAAGGCGCAAAAAAGGAATATCGGTATAGTGGCTTGGGAAAAAATTTGCAGACCGTTGTTACGCTGCGGTCAGAAATTAAGTCAAAAAGCTTGTCTCGAGCACCGCAAACTAGACGTTGATGTTTACCTGGCTACTTTTATCGAGCGTGCTAACCGCAAACTGTACACCGCACCAGTTTAGGTACGCTTCAAAAATATCACGCATACTTTCAACGCCATGGAAAACTTTTCCCTTCGACGAAATATTTAAAACGCACGGCAATGTACAAATATTTGTTATCGCTGACAATAGAAAGGAAAAAACGGAAAGAAAACAGAGAGGAGGCGCTCGCAGAAAAATATGATGCAAAGAAATAAAACACTAAAGACACTATTTTCTTTCGCAATCACATGATCTTTTGTTGGTTTAATTCTTTAAATTCTCGAAAATAGAAATACAAGTATCAATAAATAAAATAAAATGCTAGCGATTGCACGATCCTCTGATACTTTAATTCTTTAATTTTTCTTTAATACATAAAATACAAAAAATATAACACAGAAATATAACAAAACTTTTTTTTTTTTTGCTGTAATTAAGTCTTCAATATTTTAACTTTTCAATTGAAATAAAAGTATACAGTAAAGATACAAAGAGCTCCTGTTATCTCTATAACTGCTCTTTCTCAATTCTTTAAGATTTTCTTAAAAAATATTTCTTCGCACTAGTAACACGCTAATTAATTAAATCCAAGTATATCAAAATTCATATCATTTAATAACTTCTATCGTATGATTACAAATATTTGATACTACATAAACGAAATGTAGAATCGATCCACTCTGAACTAAAGTTACGCGCAAGTACTTGATACAGCCACTATATATTATTAATAATAATAAAACAGTTAAAGTGCCATTGAAACGCGAGCATTATAGGTTATTAGCTCTGTAGTGTGACCTAATCTAGCAGTTCGGAAGCCCGCCTCGACTGCTCGGATCCACTTCAAGTTTCTCCGATCCGCGTGGATCAGGCCGGATAGGTTCCCGAACAAGAAGGAGGGCTAAAACAGATCCCGCCGGATCGAGGCGGACTCGAAGTCGAAATGGGTCGAAGCACGTACAGAAAGCCGTCTCATTAAACGGTAATCACTGTTGTTTCAACTCGCCGCAACACCGATCGCGCCGAATCTTCAAGGCAAATATTGACCGAACAAAATTGCAAAAAAAAAAGAGAAAAAAGAGAGGGAAAGAGCTGAAAAAATAGAGAGAACTGGAAAAGAGAGAGAGAGGGGGGAGGGACAAAAACGAAAAAAAAAGAATGAAAGAGAGAAAAAAAATCTTCATCGGTCGAAGCGTGAAACGCGAACGAGGCTTTGATTTCGATGCAGAAAAGAGGGTGAAAACAGCGGGGGCCGAGTGTATATTCGCGAAAGCTAAACCGAGTTTCATCGCGCGGATGCGTAGCTATGGTCCATTTAAATATCACTGACCGAAACGGCGCGAAATAAAACCACTCTCGATCGCGCACGCTTTATTTTACCTCCCTCCGCTCCGGCGACAAAAATCGTTTACAATTTGTTCTGTGGCGTCTGTTGCGATCAAACTTGATTCGCTCCCCTTTCCCTCTAATCGTGATCTATCGAAAGAACATTACAGAATCGTACAGGAGGAAAGGAATCTTCCAGAAGGCACGAGATTTATCGAGAAACAGGGGAGAGACACGATCAGAACGTATCGATACGTTGAAACAATTGATCGAATATATCTTGACAAATGTAGTACAGTGAGTAGTACATCCAGATCGAAACTAACGCGATTATCCACGATTTATAAATAAATCTCTGACTTTGAATACGAAACGGAAGGAGGGGTGGGAGAGACTCGACCTGCCAATCCGATTGGCTAACAGGATCAAACCGATGGAACAACCGAATCGCGGATGAATTTCTTCGCTATAAATCCGATATTCGGGCCAACTGCCTCGCCGCCATACAGATCAACTGCTCAGTTAACGACTTACCATCAGCATAGATTCCCAGGCCATCCATCGGATCGGTAGCGGTGGTCGGCCATCGACCCGGAAATAATCGGCTGCGTAGGCGTTTCTTCCGGATCCCAAGTCGGACACTTTCACCGTGTAACCACGGCTCACCAAACAGTTTCTGTAACAAATCCATGGAACAAGTCCGTCGTATGTGTCACTCTTCTTTTTCTTCCCCTTTTTTCTTTCCTCTCTTTTTTTTCTTTTTTTNTTTTTTTTTTTTTTCCCCTTTTTTTTTTTTTTTTTTTTTTTTTTTTTTTTTTTGTCAGCTTTCGCAGCTGGCACTCTATAGTGGCTCTACAATGATGGTTTTCAGCTGACCCACATTAACGTCGCTAACTTTTTCAATATTCCGGATCTGGAATACTGGCTGGGCGGAGAACCGTCCCGTTTTATTTTCCCGGTTATTCGTTCTTTTGTTTTCCGGATCATCGTCGAGAGTGGAGCATAGAGCGTAGAGAGTTTCGACTCGCGTTCGAGGCAACGGTACCTTTATCCGCGATAGAACCGGCCAGTTACGAGGGGGGGATACACCAGACTCTCAGAGAAATAATCCGTCTTGGAAGCCGAGTGGATTATTCCAGTCTCCCCTATCCCGATACTCGAACACGTAGACGAATGTATTGCTACGAATCGTGCCCGGTGGTTTATTTACGGTCTTCGGGCTGGATCAACGCGATTCGAACGAAGATTTTTGGGTAATCCATGTGCGTTTGACAAGCGCTTTCATCGATCTCAACTTTATTCTTTTTTTTCTTTTTTTCTTCTTTTTCGGGAATCGTATTTGCCTAACAATCGAGAAGCCTTTTTGAAAAAGGTATCTGCATGTATAAATCGTACATCGAAATTTTGTTAAAATAGTTTTGAAACATCTCACATACTGTAAATAATATAACATAACATGTGATAACAATGATAAAAAAAATTAATTTAAAGTACATATTATTCTCTAAACATGAAGCAATTTTATTTGCTACTCAGACAGAAAAATGTCGAAAAGTTTTATCCATCTTGTAATTATAAGAACAAAATATTGGAAATTGTAATAATTTTATTAATCTAATTTTGCCAACGTTCGTTGCCAAAAATATGTTCAATTCTTCGAGAAGCTTCTCAATTGTTTCAAACTCAGTTCCTTTCTTCGTCGCTGTGTCACTCTCGATAAAATGATTCATCGAAGCGAAGTTACACGCGGAAACGTTACGCTGCCAGTATTTTCCACTTTGTCGGAAACGACGATGTAAATAAACGAAAAGCACACGTAGCTTCCGGCGGCCATTAAATTTAACAAGAAACCGCTAATGAGAACGTCTTCCCCGTTGACATGCGCTGAATCGACGATGCGAAACGAACTTTCCACCGTGTTGTCATTATCCACTAATTACCAACCATAATTCATTGTTATACGCTAAACAATCCCTTCCAGTCCGACACCACCAGCGACAGTTGCTCGTCGTTCGCCTATCTCCACGTTTCTTCGTCGTTTCCTTTCCTTTTTCGCCGTGCTAATTAGCGTTTCCGATGGGGAGGAAGGGAGATTAAAGCGGACGGAAAGCGGCTGAACGATACCTCGAAGCTCCATTTTCGCGGGAAAACGGAGAGCCAAGGCGGTCTGTCGTCGAGAACCTTCTAAAACCCTCCGCGTCTGCAAGACGATGCGCTCTGGAGGACTGTTCTCGAGGAAGGGGCGGGCGCCGCTTTTAAACGGCTCGCGTCCGCCGGAAACGCTCGCTCTGTCGAGAGCGGCGATCGTTTCGAAGTTTCGCGCCGACTTCCACGGCGAAACCGACCGAGTCCGGCGGGGAACGGGTTTAGTAGCGTCTGCTACCAGCGAGGCATTCATCTCGCTGGTAATGCGAAATAGCCGCAGTCCTCGAGCATTCCCGAGCCGTATCTTTTCACATCGCGCGTTTAAACATCGTAACGACCGTTTCAACAACCGCTTGGCCGCGGGCTTTCGCGATTTAATTTAACGAGATATTCTCCGTTTTCAATCGGACTGCAAACGAAACGAGCGAATACAACTTGATAAAATAGACGGTGAATCTATTTCTTTTTTTTTTAACTGTATGGATCGCACGCGATATGCAAAAATATAAAAAAAAGATTCATATTAAAGCTAATGAATTAATTATGCTATTTAATGGATAGAATAAATTCTTTTATCGCATTATTAAACATCCGGCTGTCATTATTGGTAGCATTGGTTAAATCTGATAAGAAACGGTCTCGATTGAAAGGTTCATCTACTGAAATAAAATCGTTATCCGTTATATATAATGGATATAAAATCGCAAAGGATGGGATGATTGATTTCAAACTGGCAAAATTCACGTGCAATAATCTAATAACAACGGGAAGCAAGAGATTAGCAACGATTACAACGTTATTCACGAACGAATTTATCAGAAGTAATTAATTTTCAAAAAATTAATTTAAATAACTTACGCGATCGCCGAGCATTAGAATTAATTATTCGCGAAAAGTTTTTGTTTCGCACGCGGCGGGATATTTATTCACGGTTTCCCCCGTCGCGTATATCTTTTCGAATAATTATTTAATTTGGAATTAAAGAGAAATTAAATGTACACACGTGCGTGCGTGCCGCGTACGACTGCAATTTTGTAGCCGGAATTAAAAGAAAATTTTAAACGCACGCGTGACATTTATATTAAAGCAGATGCCGTCGCGTTTAGTGAACTGTGTTTCGTTATTCTGATTTAAAAGAGAAAAAAGAAAAACTGATAACGAGGAAAAGGATTGATATAGAAATAATTGACGAAATACAGGAAAAGTATACTTCTTCATCTAGAATATCGTATGGAATATCGTTTCGTTTATCGAACGTTTTGGCTTTTGCCTGTTCAAAACTCGTTTCTATAAATCAACGGGCAATTAATTTCATCCGCCACAGGCCGCGCGCGCGTTTCGCGTTTATGCGACGCCCGCGCCTCGGGCCATTGTAATTAAAGTTTATGATTAGAGTTAATAATTCGAACACGTGACCTAGCTGTCCCCCGGTCCACTTGTTCCCTTTAACAGCCCTTCCACGCAGAAATGTCCCATAGATTATGCCGGTGGTGTTGGTAAACGCCTACGATTTCTATATATCGAAGAAGTTCAAGGACCTTGGCTAGGGATTGGCCAAGTCGTAACTGAGAAACTTTGTTCCGAATATGACGGCCGGAAGTGACGCTGCGAACGATTTAAGGTAGATAGAGAATTGAGCATGTTAATTAACCTCTTGCGCTGAAATGTCGTTTGCTCCAAAATTGTAATATTTCCTCAGTTTTAAGTATGTTTAAGTAAAACAAAATAGGCAAAACAAATAATAAATTTATTACTTTTCAATAATAATTTCTATCAGTGATATCGTACCGACGAGTTCAAAGAGAAAGCGACGAATTATTGTGTACGGTTCGGTCACTCGTTATGGTCGGCAATCAGTTGCCAGCGCAAGTGGTAAACGATTGATTTATCTACATTGTCTAGAAAGTTCCAAACAATACTGTCTCATTTACGATTGACTCATATACATTTTTTTTCATACTTTACCATCATATATATTATTTCACGTGACATTTTCGTCGATAATTGAAAATTCTCGATATTTTCGAAAGAATTGGCATTTTCAACGATACTCTTTCCGGTGAAACGTACGTCGAAACGAAAAAAGATATTAGCGAATAAAATGAACCAGCCACGGTTCCTCCCGAGGGTTAATAGTTATGCAATAGTGGTTCGATCGATCGTCACCATTCGACACGTGACAGAATTACATCCACAGTTTTTTTTGCTAGAATAACATACCGACGCGGTGAAGTTACAGCTTTCGAGCGGCTACACGTTGTCCCTGGATCGACCGCGTACGAACGCGTTAGCTTCCGGTTAGAGGGGAAACGCGTTTACGTTCGTGCGGCTACACCGCGTTCGAACGGCGGGATGACTGATCGGCGAAGTTCGACTTAAAGTAATCTAGTGAGAAACAGTCTGTCGTTACCTTGTGGCGAGATCTCGGTGCACGAAGTCCATTTCCTCGAGGTGTTTCATGCCGGATGCTATTTGCGTGGCCATGTAAACCAACGTGCCGAAACTGCAACACGAAGAACGAGGCGGTTCCGTTTCAGAAGTTTCGCGCGGTGGAAACTCGCGTCTTCGTGTACGTGGCCGCGTGCTACGCGTTTAAACGTATGTACGTAAGGCCCGTACACAAAGGCGAATCGTTGGTATCGGCTGGCAATACCGCAAATGACGACGCTTTCGAGGCACAGACGAACGCGTCTCGACCAATGTGCATTAAACGACAAAAGCAGGCCCTCCTTTTGCTTCACTAGTGCTCTTTCCTCGCTCTGTCCATTTTCTAACACTATTTTCCATTCGAGCAGAGTGTGGGACATTCTTAACGTTTGTTTTACTTTTTCCCTCTTCTTCTTTAGAAATATACTGTGCATAGCGTGACCTCGTTAGTTAAGATATCTTATTCATCATTTCGAAATTGATAACAATTGATGCTTCACCTTTTTGTATTATTTTGTCTTGACGTTATTATCGAACCGTAATGTAATTTTCATTAATATACTCGGAGTGTGCAAGATGGTAATTCAGAGTTCATATTAAGCTGATAATTCACATTTCATATTAACCAAAAACTTCTGATTAAAATATTGTAACATTATGTGAATTTTAATGGTACGTTGAAAAATGTATTACAACAAGTCGAAATATGTGTTTCTCATTCATCTATATACAGAATTTCGAGTATTTTGACATACCTTGAAAAAAATGTAAAAATGCACTGTACCACAAATGCTATGAAAAATTGGAATTTAAACGGATTATGTACTGCTAGATACTTAATAGGATGTACGTACAAAAACAATACACGTCAATTCAAGAGTCTGGCAAAAAGAGTAACTGAAATGACTAAAGGAACACAGAAAAAGTGGAAGATTTGTATCTGATTGGTCGTTAGAAATGTTAGTTGTTATTTGGTTGTCTTATCTGCCCCGTCTACTTTATATTCCCTTTGTCTTTGACTGTTTTATATCCCAAGAATTTCACCGTTCTAAAAAAGATAATCCAATAAAAATTTCCAAAATTATCGATCGCCGGCGAGTTTCTAACTAGGAACACAACACATGACGAGCAACAGAGCTGAACATAGAAAGCGCGCGAATCCTCCTCCCTACGATTCACTTTTAAACGCGCGCGGATTACGCCGGTCGGAGCAGATTTACGTTTCCTTTTTCACCGTGCCATCACGTGCTTTTCATCCGTCCTTTGCCGATTTCCCAGGAACGTTTATCCCGTTAGGAATCGGGTAATTCCCCCTCACCAGACGCGGCCAACGAGTTGTTACGTCCCATCGGCGGGGAAATATTTGTCAGCGAGTCGTTCGGTACGCAACATTTCCAGCCAGCCTTTGTAGATCGATACGGTTCGCTGGCTCGCACCAAGACAAAGAGCGAAACGGGCTCTGCAGGTCGTTTTCGAAAATAAACGCACGGGAAAAACACGGTCAGCCGACAGCTGTCACCGGCACCGATGATCTCCTCTGCCCTCTCTCGTTTTCAGCCGATTTCTCGTATTTCGAGCGGGTTTCGCGCGATCCGCGGATACGCAGGTCCCTAACGCCACTCCAACCGACGTACGTACGCGCATGATGACGATAAGATCGAAAGATTACGCCTCATTGCGCGCCATTGAGCTTGGTTCGCGTCGCCCGTTTTGTGTCGATATTTTACTTTCAGAGTACGCTTCAGGATTGACAATTTGCTCGTTCTGAAGGAAACGATTGCTGGAACGTTACTTGCTTTTGTTTCTTAATTTCATCACACATTTATGTAGACAATTTTGACATTAATCTCGGTATCGATAGATAGAATCAATTTCTATGTGATAAATATGATATTTCAATTAAGGAGGTACAGTCTGTTCTATGTTATTATATTGGAAAACAATAAATTTGTATTGCATTGCAACATTACGTGAGTAAATACTTAACTCCTCGAGCAATTATCGTATACATAATGTAAATAAAATACTTAGGTATTACAAAATAAAAAATAAAAAACAAAATACTTATGTATATATAATGAAAATAAAATACTCATATATTTACTAGCCATGACTGGATTGGTCCGTTTGGATATTGGAAACTGAAAGATGCAAAAATGCACACAATGCGCGTAACAAGTGGAACAATAGACAACGTAAATTTTATATTTAGCTTTCATGAAAATATAAAAATGCAAAAGAATTCGGAGTCCTCACAATTGACAGTGGAAATAACGAGTATAATTGGAATATACAAACACACACAGGTGAAACATTCATGCCACTGTGAAATACGTTTTCAAAGACAGACTATAACGCTCGAGGAGTTAAATACAGAATGGCAAATCGAAAATAAAAAAAAAAAAAAGAAAATACAAAAAGAAATCGTACGCAATAAAAGTGACCAAAATATCAGATATATCACGCCAGAGGCACGAATGTGTTGCATCGAATGTCTTTTCTTTTACTTTTGATTTTGTATCGTGTGTTTCGATTCGCACGTGTTCATTAGTTTGTGTCACCACATTTCCTGAACACGCGCAATTGGCAGACTCGTGCATTCCCGTCTCTGGCGCGAAGCATTAAAAATAAAACGACCGACGATGTGACGATATAACAGCGTTAAAAATGAAACAAACGCTTGATAAAATCTTGATAATCCCACGATAGTCGTCGTATTTCATAATCCCTCGATGCGTTAGCGGCGTAGAAATGTAAAGGAAGGATATTCGCGAGGATTCATTCGATCACCGGCAGGTTTATCCTTAATAAGTACCATCTCGCTGGCGAGACATGGTAATTAACCGTACCTGAGTGTCTTGGCAGTGTGCACGGTGGACGTTTCAGCGATGTGGCTCTGCAGATATTGATTCAAATCGCCGTACTCGCCGTTTTCCAATACGATGCACATGGGGTCGTCTTCGAGGCTGGCGCCGAGTAGCCGCGCGACATTCCGATCGGCCAGCCGTGCCAGCCTTTTTGCCTCCTGTTGAAATTCTATCCTGGAAAATACACGGGACACTCGGAAGTAATATCTTTATAGTCGGCTGCTCTACCAACCGGGCGGCTATCGAACACGGACGGATATACTAGAAATAACGCGAGCTTTGCGTCGTTGTATCGGTCAACTCCTTTTCTCTCTCTTTCTCTCGTGCTCGTATCTTTCAAGCAAAAGGGGAAAGAGAAACAACGGCAAAGCGGAAGAGGAATTGCATCCGCTGAAGGCACGTAACTCGCGTCCAAGGATAATGGCCACTGTCGAGATTATCGTTTCGGGAACGCTGGGCTTCATGTTTAAGAGAGTCCGCTTGTGTTGTTCGGTTGTCTAATATCTCGGTAGCCGATAAGGGCCGTGTTCCTAAACGTAACGAATTTGTACGTTACTCGTACGGTGAAGTTTCACCGTATTTCTTCTCGTTCTGTCTTCCACCGGCGGTAATTACAGCGGCTGTTAATCGGTTCCACCGGCCTCTAACTGATAAGTTTCTGTATTTCGGTTAATTTCAAGCGACGAAGAAGTTAACGTCGTCGACTCGCGACGAACACCTCCTGAACCTCGAGCAGATCGCGAAACTTTCTTGTCAACGTACGATGAATCGTAATTTTTTTTTCTTTTTCTTGCGAGAATTCCACACGCAGCAGGATTCTTGATTAAAGCTCGAAACGGACGGGGAGAGCATCACGTCGACGAAAGATTTCCCGAATCGTTTCGAGGAAGGAAACTTCGCAGTTTCAATCAAACAGACGTTGTTTCGCGGTGAAGAATAAAATTGATCCTGATCTTTTAAAGAGAGACAGGGCAAATCCAATAGAAGGTACCAAGCGATGGGAAACGTCGCGGCGTTCTCTTTCTTGTCGCCTTTGTCGGCTGGATTCTAGACGTTTCTTACGATATCGGGGAGCGGTGTATCACGCGAAAAAGGAATAAACGAGCACGATTGTACTTCCGGTATTCCGTTAAGAGGCCTCTCTCTCTCTCTCTCTTTCTCTCTCGACGACAATACACGTTTCGCGTACGTTTCGTCGTCGAGCCCTGTAATCCCCGATCCTGTCGACCCGGATCATCCTTTCGCTGTGCCAGCGATAACGCAGCGCGTGTTCTTCGTCGGTACACGCTTTATCGTGTACTTCCGGCTCTGCTTCCTTGCCCAATCTAACATCTACAGATCGATCGATCGCTACCGATGCACAGCGTGTATATGTACGCGCGCGTGTAAAAAACATTTTTAGTTTTAGGAGAACGTTTAGTTTTCTCTTCTATGAGTAATTTCGGTTCACGTTTAAACATGCTGTAAATAGTATTTTAAGTACGTATTTTTATTAATTTTAAGTATTAGTTTTAGTTATTAAAAGATATTGTGAAAGAAATCGACGCTCATGCAGGCCTTTACACTGGAATTATTAATTTCGAATCTCTGCCAGAGATAATATAAAATTAAATTTCTTGCACTTTTATAATATGGTACAAATTCTTATAGTCATCTAAGTAGCTTTATGAGTCAAAAATATCTATCCGATGATGTCAGGAGAATGATTGATTATTTCGTAATCTAAAGATTCTTTCCGGAAATCAGTCTCAGAAATAATCGAACCCTTTGAAATCAAGATGCAAATAATTTTCTATTTTATTCGAAATACATGCCTTCTATTGACTATTTCTTGGAAAAAAGAATTTCTCACCATCGTAAGAAGGCGAATCTGGCGAGTGGCAATTTATTTTTAACTTCTCTTTATTTTTTTTCTATTCTTTTTTTTCTGTTCCACATTTCGTACTTGACCTGAATAATTTCACATTGGAAAATAAGTGAGAAAGATTAAAATGTTCAATTAGCTTGACACACGTGTACGTAAACTTTCAAATTTAATATTAATTATAAAATTTCCGTCTTGATAAGTACCTGTTAGATTTAATTGCTGTAAATATCCGAAAGTTCTGATTTATTCTGTAAATATCCGAAAATCTGATATGAATTAATTGCTAGAATACATCTAACAAAATTATAAAAATTTGAACGCGTTAAATCGTTGTGATTAAACATTAGTGCGTACCTGGTACAGACTATATATATAAAAAATTATATATAAAATTAAATGTCTTGCTAAATATAAAATTAAGTGATATATATATATATGTTATCATGCATTGTACTATTAACACGAAATCATACAAAAGTAGAACAACGCGCAGAATTGTTTGATAATAAACCTCGCGATTTAACCGAGTCACCGGCTGCTTTGTATGCATTCAAAAACGTTCAAACTATTACTATATTAAAACGACGAGGACGACGACCAGGTTGGATTTAAACAATTTCCCCGTGGTTTCGAGCGGCGTCGCCGGGTCAAAGGGAAACTTCTGCACGGTAAATTGCCAGGCTATTGTCAATCGCGAGCAACGAGCCGGACAGTTTTAGGAGTCGTTAAAGGCCGAACCGTCGCGAAAAGTAGCAACGGCACGAGCAGGCGAGTTATTCGATTATGCGCCAGTCACTGACCGTTTAAACACCTTCTCTGCATTATCGCGTCGCGGCAACTTAATACACGGACCACGTCATTACGTACGAAATCACTTTGCGCCAGGTTTATCGAATTATCGCGTTAACGCGCCCCCCCCCCCCTCATTGAATAATAATCGATTGGGATAATTTTCTATCGATGCCCCATATTTCGCGGAGTCAGCCGGCCGCCACTGATGCTCCTACGGTCGCCAGAACGAGCGAGAACACGCTCGATACCGATAACAAACGAAACAGAATAAAGGTCTATAATCGAGCGAGCTAATTCTCTGTCGATCGTGTATCCTATACTTTCCATATTTTCGGCCACGCGTGAAATATCGAACGCTTAATGATTCTCGGTATATTTCACCGTATTCAGCGACTTGAAACCAATGCTCTGTAATAACGCGTTGTTCGATTCATTCCTATCGGCAAATTTAATTATGAACGTACAGCTGCCTTTGATTGCCGATTGCTCCCTTCGCTTCTGTTTATCTCGTTTGCGAGCGCGGACGAAGATAAATCGTGACGAAAAGGAATACTCGACGAACATGAACTGAGAGATTCATTCATAATCGAGACGCGAATTTGCCTTCGTGCAAATAATAATTTTCCTGCTTCCGTTTCATTCGTCCCTTCTCCTTTTTCCTTTTGCTTTTTTTTTTAAATTTCGTTTTATGTTTTTTTTTTGTTTTTTTTTTTTTATTTGAGAGGAAAGTAAACGCGCGCAGTGGGCAGGATCGTTCGCTTGTTTGTCGATAACAGCCTCCGACACGCTGTTTTCATTCACGCGATGTAACAACAGTTCTACGCGCGCCACACGCGACAAACTATTACTCAATTATTACTCTGCTATTGACACGGCGGCAATTTATTGTGCTGCAGCTGGATGCATTTCGAAACCAGTGCCTCTGCGCCGGCTGTCATACCAAAATTTCCTGTCAATTTTCGCGCGTGCACTCAATTTATGCCGGTGAGGGCCTTCCTGCCGTGAAAAGTAACTACAATTTCCACCGTTTATTTTGATAATCAGTCTCCGACCCGAGTATTCAACCAGCTCGCCACGCCGCGAGTCGTGAAACGTCGAAATTCCGAAACGAACGGAATTTCTTTTCGAAAGTTATGGCATCGTGAATTTCCTTCGAAGAATATACGCGCAAGCTGATTGCTAATTATTTTCATAATACCCAATCAAACATTCCTTTCGTGAAATTTCCTATGCGAATTCCCCTTTTCTTTCGTGAACTTTCCTATGCGAATTCCCCTTTTTCTCTCTCGAAGAAACTTTCGAAATTACCGCGCCAGAGATATTTCTTTCATTGAAATGAAAACAATTAAGGGTAACTCATTAATGTAATGTTACTGATCTCACGTTTCTCGTACAGAAAATTTAAACAAGCACTTGCGTAATAATTCCCTTTGCCCGATATTAATAATTGTTTCGCGCATCGTATATCTCCGTCCACCAAAATAAATAATAAATAAACAATAAGTTGAATAAGTCTTGCCGAAGTGACGAGCCATTCTGACACTTCTCAATCGATTTCAGTATCAAGCCACAAAATTGTTGCTTCATCCGTAAACATATTCATCAGATGTATATAAAATTTAGATACCATCGGGAGATTATTTCGAAATTATTCGCCTAGTATCGTGAAATTTCCGGGTGACGGGCGGTTTGACGACGGCCGCTCGATAATACAAGACCCTTACCTAAGCGCATCCGAGGATCCAGGTCTCAGGGACTTAACGATCACCAGGTCGCTGCTGGTGTTCCGGAAAACTTCGTCGTATCCAGGAAACCTGTCGACCTCGCAAATGTGAACGTCGCCGAAGTATCCGCAGCCGAGGTTTTCAACGATGTTGAGCTTCTCCCGGGGGAAGTCTAAGATGCACTCGGGCACCTCGTCTTCCTCCTCCGTAAGCATATCCTCAGGACTGTAGCTTGTCATGCTGCTGGAGGCTTTCGCGCTCATTGGCGGCGGTGTGCTCGGTGTCGGCGACGGTGGCAACGGTGGCAGCGAATTCTGTAATAAAAACCAAGACACGGTAATACCACGGACAGATCATCATCGGTGTTACTTTGGAACAGGTATCTCTCTCAGGAGAAAATTCAATGTTTCTGCTTGATATTAGTGGGACATATATATTCTCGATCATTTTAATCGTTTATTACGATTTTTCACGTGAGGCTGCTCTATTTGTAATTTAATGTTCGCTGTGTTTAATTAAATTAAATAAATTGGACGTGACACTGTGTATGTATATCTACAGTTTTAGCTGTATCCTTTAGATCGTACTATTATTATATTATTTTGTAAAATAAATTCTATTGTACATTTAGTTTCGTTTAATTATTCCATCCTCCGGGAATTTTGCAAATCTGAAGATATTATGAAACTATCGTCGAAGCTGAAGTGAAATTGAAAAACAGTATAAGATCGTAGCAAAATTTGAATACGATACAATATGTTACATATAATAATTAAGTCTCTTATTGGACAAGGCAAATTTAATTAGTTTTTTATTTAAAAATAGATGAAAGAGAAACAACACTGTGGTATTCTAAAATTGAGGCTGAAACAACGTGAAAAATGTAGAGTCCGAAAACGAGGATAAGGGAGTACGAGGAAATTAAACTGCGCGTGAATTAAAGTCAGCTGCGATCAATAATCACCATACCCTATCGGCCGGTGATCAGTGTATGCTTTCGTAAGACGTTTCCTCGCCGAGGTCTCGCATTAGTAATGATTGATAGTCCTTTCTGGTTCCCTTGTTTTTCATCCATTAAGCTTCATTATTCTCCGCGCGGAGCGTTTTAACACGCGCCGTTGGACGCTGTACGGCGAACTTTAAACGTTCTAATTAAAAAAAAAGAAAAGAAAAGAAAAGAAGAGGGGAAAAAGAAAGGAAAGGGGAAGTGAGAGAAGAAGAAGAAGAAGAAGAACGGGGAAAAAAATGAACGCAATAATGGAATACAAGAAATAAATCACGACGCTAATTGCCTCGTCTACCACGAGAAAGAAAACGTCACACATAAACTGACCACGTGTATGTATTAGGGAAAGTCGCCGAGTTATTAGCATTTCATTTGAATGGGCAATAAATATGAGCAAGTTTATTCTCTGCAAATACATTTCGCAGTCATATTGTTTTCTGCATTGTTCTCCATGCAGCTGTGCGCCAGTGAAGTCAAAGTTATTTTTTTAAATCTAATGTTTCGTTTCCAGATCATACGTATGATTTTGTTCTACTATGTATGTACGTTAGTTTTAGTTTGTTATGTATAATAAAAAAAAAACCCAGTTCTGTATTTTAAATAATATAAATAAACAGTTTAATCCGTCGGTTAGCATTGGACAACGTTGTACGATAAATACGTGGAACAATATAAAAAATATATATTTTTAAATCACATTCACCAATTTTGGCTCAAGATATAACAAAAGATCAATGTCGCAAGACCTTTCACCTACGGCGGACGAATCGAGCTGTACTCATGGTACAAATTACAGTTTCGATCTGCAAAAGGAGATATAAGTAAATTGCAAACTCGTGAAATTCCATTTCGAATTTTTATTTCTTTTTAAATTGGTCAAACACACATTGCTAAATAAAAATTATATATAACTTCTGTACCTTAAATAGCTTCTCGATTAATGTTACAATTTCGATAAGTAATGCTTAGAAATTAAAAAAAGAAGAACCTCAGAAATTAAAAAAAGAGTGGCGAGGTAAGGGGTTAAGAGGATTCATTGGACAAGGCTCGTGAAAGGAGAAACAATTCGAGTAGCCTGCCACGATGGCGACGTAAGATGCCGAAGTCACGAACCGGTGTTTGACATAGTTTCAAGCGCAAGTGACCCGCATTAATACCCATCCACCACCCCTCGCCCTGAAAAACTGCCCCCTCGCGACCACGACTAATCGTCACGGATCGCATGTCTGTCGTACATTTTTGATACTCACCTTACAGATCTCCGTGCTGGCGTAATACTTTTCCGGTGGCGGCGGTATGGGTGGCGGATTAGATGGATATTCTTGAACCGGCGGAATTGGCCTGGCAAGATTGATCGCCGTGTTCAGCAACAGCGGAATAACCGGCTGCACCTCCGTGATCCCTGTCCGACGATACCACCGGAAAGGAAAGGAAAAAAGAATTTTTTGACAAAGTTAGAGAGACACTATGGCCGCCGTGCACGAAAGAAATTACACCGGGCGCGTTTCAACCTTCTCCCCCTTCGTGTTCCTCGAAACTTTCAAACGAGCGCTTTCCTTTCGCTTTATATTTCTTCTCTTTCGTTCCTTTCTTTTTTTTCGAGGGAGTTTTCTCCCATTTTCTTTTACCGTGCATCGTCGTAGTCTTTTTACTTGTGTAAGAACGTTCTACCCTTTGTGGATTTTTTTTTTTTTTATTTAAACGATGGCTTCCAATGACCGGAAGACAATTCTGTTAAATTCAACTCTATATAATCTTATGTAACTCAAAGGTTACGTATTTAATGTTTTATATTTCATTTCAACATTGTTATTATGAAAGTACCAGATTTGAAATTGGAGTAAATTAACAATTAATTAAAAATCGTTTACTAGTTTCAATTAGCGATCTTTTTTAATTTAATTTCTTTAACTAATAACCATTTTCTCTTGCAGCCAAACAAAATGCTTCGTACAGAAGGTTAAATTGTCTTTTGAAGGTTAAATTAATTCGATTAAGTTTCACATCAAACTGACAATGAACGTATGGCATTGAAATATAAAAATTTGAGGACCGTAGTGGAATTACTTTAAATCTATCTCGAGTACAGTCAAGCGTGCGGTTTGCGTGGTTAATCGATCGCGAACTATGTTTCCGCTGCGCTGCCGGTCGCGCTTAATTGAACGAGATTTATTTTTAATTTCGCTCTCGTGGTAATTTTATAGCGTTTCGAGGAACAGTTCCGTCGCCAGAATGGAAAGAAACGAAATAATTGATCAACTATTCGAACGACGCCGTGAAACAACGTTCGTGCGGTTGAATTCCTTTTCCATAGCCTTGTGAAACCTTGCACGAGTGCTAATCATCGCGGAAATTTCATTCGCTTCTGCAAATTTTCAAGGGAGCAAGGAAAAAGTGTGCGTGAGAATGGTGAAATTTTCGCGCAGAAATTAAAACGAATTAAAGAGCTTCTCGGCAACTGGCGAGGCTCGTGTGTGATTTGCGCTCGTGCAAGCCTCGAACTTTAAGTACCATGAGCTCTATAATAATCCGTCGGTTATTAAGCCGCAATTTAATTCGAACGCCGCATGCTCGCATATCACGGGTAGGTGTTGCGTTTATCGTTGCGACCAATGGCCATAGTCGGCCGCCGATTTTATGTAATTTTAGTCAAACGCAAACTCGATAATGCGCAGTAACGCGGAGCCACTCGTTTCAAGTTTTCCCGCTATTGAATTACACTGTGCACTAACAAATATCGAAGGGATGAAACGTTGACCAAGACCACCGCGAAATTTCCGTAAAATCGTCTACTTTCAGCGGTACAAAGAGGTCTCAACTCGTTGCAATAAGTTCCGAGTATATAAATTCTGACAGAATTGAAATTAACGATAGGACAATTTTAACTGTTTGATTACCGTTGTATAAAGTCTATCATTTCTCCAATAAATTTCTCACGCATGTATCAGTAACAAAAATAACAGGAAACTGAAATTGTGAAACAATACTACTTTTAACGCTTTGAAGATTACATTCAGAGAACAAACACTTCAATCATTCACTGAGAATTGTTCTTGAAATTCATTCGATAAACTGATACACGTGAAATACGCTTTACCATTGATACTGTGAATTGAAAAGAGATACTTTTTAAAAGATTATATCTAGCACCGAACACTTTCGTTATTCATTGAGAATATTCGTCTATTACAAATTCATTGATTCTATTCCGACAAGATAAATTAATTTTTCAAAGTATCTTGAAATAATATCTATCATTTCGTCGAAACATTTGCAACGAATTACTTTCGATATCAAAAACTCTCAATCGAATGGATGTTTAATAATCGACCACTCTTTGTCAACGTTTCATACCAGCCTCGCACAATGCGTCCTCACAACTGAATTAATTTCGATCCCATCTCGTGCACCTGTACGTCCGTCGGAACTTGCGGGGGCGAAGGCATCGGCTCCCCTCGTAAACATATTTCATCGGCCCGATCACAAGGGGTTAAACTCGCGTTCGCTGGAAACCGTTGCTCCGTTAGGATATTACGAAAATTTTGAGGCTCGCCGTACGAAGGGGGGACGCAATCCTACGCGTTAGCGGTTAACAATTCCGTGCTACGAGCCCGTTGATAATCGTCAAACTGAAGTGGCGGGCTCTCTCTGTTCCGAATTAATTTAAATCGGCCCGGCCCGAGCATGCACGCGCAGAATTCGAAAGGCTTAAGCGCCGCACTTAACGTCGCTACCAACCGCTGTAATCCGTGATAGTTTTGTGTAGTTGCGGTGTCGTCGTGGTGTAGGTGGCCGGGTGGTACTGCGCCGGAAGCGGAGGGCAAATTGGTCCCTTGTCCTCGCCCTCCTCCTGCACGGAGACCTGCGGCCGAATATTGAGCGTTCCCGTTAATGCACCTGACATTTATGCACACACACACACACACACACACACACACATCGCGCGCGCGGTTAAAAGCGATACGCCACCGGAAACTTTCCGTCACTTGGCGCCGCCACCCCGGTCCCACCCCCCCTCAGCCGGCATTTTCGAATATTCATGTCCCCATCGGGACGTCCTTTTTGTTTCGTGGACACGCGACAGGGGAAGGGATTGACTGATTGCTTATGTGTAGCTCGCGATAATTACGAATGTTCTCCACTTGTCGATTCTTATTTGTTGTAACATTCTTACGTGGGTTTCGTTTGCCAGTTGTCGGTTACTTGACACCAATCCTCGCGGGAATTTTATGAATTCGTTTTTTTTTTTTTTTTTTGTCAAAAAGCTACATGTTTTAATTTATTACACGTTACTCATTCAGTACTGAAACTTTTGATAATTTCAAGCTAAATTCAAAGGGTTGAAAAATATTAAATTACACTAAAAGATATGCTATATGAAGAAAATTTAGAATTAAATGATTATAATTTGACTGATCCTCGAGTTTCTTTCTTTACTTTCACACACGCATCATTCATAGTCTCAGCATTTGTACATATTATGATAATAATAATAATTAATATTGTAATAATCATAAATTATTTTTACGGTAATTTATATATAATTTAGCAGACAGAGGAAGTAGCTTATTTATATTTACGACAATGTGTTAATGTCTAGTTTACAATACAGAACTGTATGTGATATGTACAAGTAGTAAAAATCAACTATAACGCGGACCAATTGTGATTCTTCATACACGCACGTCTATTTACGATTAAAACATTAAAGGAATCGAAAGTTACTCGTAAAAGTGACATAAATCAACCACTATGGTTTCTCGTGCATGCATGTATAATTTATGAACGAGAGTGAAGTAGTAAGAGTCGACGATTACACGAGTCAAAGTTATTCATAAGTGGTTGAACGGAACGAGATCATCGAAAACAAAGTCGTTCGAGGCACAAGCGAAATTTGCATGAATTTTTTTCACCATCATTTTTACATTCTCATTGCATATTTACACATCAAACTGATACTCTCGTGTTATAATATACCCGATGCATAATTCATTCGAAGCGGCAGTGCTCCTTCATTCGTTTTTTCTCACGCTTTTTATGTTCTATACCCACATCATCTTTTTTTAGCAACATCTGTCTGCTGCTTCAATGAATATTCGATTGGAGATTACACGATATTTTTAAGCCAAGATGAATAATCTACTCATTGCGGATTAAGATGCGGATTTCACATCAATACATCAACACAAAAACAGCAAACAATAGTGGCATCATATAGCTGCAATCAACTGAGATCCTTTTTTTCTTGCAAAGGTGAACGAAATTCTGATTAGAGAGGCTACGAAAGATGGAAGATGGCTTCGTCTGTTAAAATTCAATTCTGACGCGTGCTGTCACGAGCGAAAGAACCACAAAACCACGACGTATCGCGCTGCTGCTAATAATTTCATACGACGTAATTATCGACACAATGCATCGATACGTATTCATCGGGCCACGTAATTCTACTGAATAAAATTTAACCGTATCATCGGGTAATTATCAGTCACGGTCCTCCCTGATGACCGAGGAAATTGGATCAGGAGAGATCGTTCGGGTCGTTTCATTCGTTCGTAATCAATCATTCGTCCGAATCAATAATTCATTAAAACAACGAATTTCCAAAAACAAACAACGCACGAAAGGTAAAAAGATTCGGTTCGAGTTCCATTTCTCCTCAACCACTGATCCAGTTCGATTACCATTTCTTCTTGAACGACTTATCAGGGACAAACTTCGTTTTCTAAATTTGTTATTCTTAAATGCATGCTAATTTCAATTTCAAACTAGTCCGTCAAGAACTAAACTAAACGTCGGCCCACTGAGAAAAATATCCTACAGTTGGCGTAAATCTCGAAGGGTCCATTACACATCAAGTTAAATGTTAAAAGTAAAGAAAAATAAATACAAAAGGTATTCGTCAAATAATAAAATCTAATCAATTCCTAAGATTCAGTCAATTTTTCTACTAACAAACCTCTTTCGAACAACACACTTTCGCGAAGGAGCAAATGTCCATTTTCCTCAACAATCATCGTTGTATCGTCGTCGGGTCTTGTAGAAAGGAACTCGTCAACGCGTGGTTAGATCAACGGCACCACCTCAGGAAATTAACGCTCTCTATAACAAACAATCCTTCGCGCCCTGTACTCGTACGCTTCATCTTCCCTTGCCGATAAGGAAAGTAGAGACCGCGTCGGGCTCTCGGTTCTCTGAAGAATCACGATATAATATCCATTGATTTTTGTTTCCCTTGCCCTCCGTCTGAACGTCACCGAGACGAGACGACTCGGCGAGAAGGGCACTGCGACCCTTCAGCGTCGCGGAGGGGGTGTTAATTTCCGTTTAGGAAGCGTTAGGGTGTCAGACTCGGCGAGATGCTCCGCGCCACCGCCGTTAAGATAAGATAACCACTTAGCCATCGAGATTCTACTCGAATCTCTTTGCTCCGATTCTCTTCCACTTCTCTCCCTCTTTCTTCCTTCGTCTTTCGTCCTCCTCTCCTGTTTCCTCGTCGTTACTTTCACCCTCTCTGCCTCTGATCGTGGTCTCTCCTCTTCCCCCCCCCCCCTCTCCACCTTCTGGCACGTTGCTCGCCTTCCTGTCATCTAGATCTTCTTAACGCCTCTCTTTGGCCCGCTAAAGCTATCCAAAGTCTTGTCGCCACTTCCTTTCGTCCTTATGGCCAGACATTCGAAAGGTTATTGCAAGACATTCGAGGCGGTGTCGATTGGTAATCGTACTCAGCGATCAACTCGAACGCTGAGACTTCTCCTTGCGTACACGTTGCTTCTCAAGTGTCATTGATTTTAAGGAATTGGCGCGAAGTGTTCACGTTGGGCAATTTTCGGTTCAACGATCGAACGACTCAAGCTGTTTGATTTCAAGCAGCTTCGTGCTTTTTTATGAACAGAGTTAAACAATGCTGTGTTCTTTCGGGTCATTGTTTATTTACTTGCATTTCTCCAAAGTTGAAAACTACGTCAAGTTTAGAAACGGAACATGAAAAATTGTTAGAAACAGACAATTCGTCAACCATTTCGATTGCTGTTGCTTCGTGTAAAACGCTGTTTTACCGAACGAATCGTCGCCAGAGGTTTCGCCGTTAATTTCGCGACAGTGGCCGCTTGTTTGCTCGACGATACTGGGATATTCATCGTTGAAAACGACCAGGGGCACACGCGGATAATTGGCAACGCGGGGATCTTTGGGGGCGTGCGAACGAGCCCCTCGATGATCGACGGTTGCCAATGATTTGATACAACGACGGAAAAATTAATTACGAGCAAACCAATCAGCGCTCGGCATTTTCGACTGATCTTCGTTTAAGCGAAAAATAATCGAACCCGGCCGTCGTTCGTTAATTGAAAATAGTAATTACACGATAAACACCGCCGCGCTGGCGAAAGGGTCTCTCCTGGCGGAGAGTTTCACGCCTCTGATTCGATTCAGGGACTCAATTCGGTGACTTATTTCAAGAGCGTTCAATCGTCAAATCGCGAGACAAACAAAGTTGATTATTTCTCTCATTTTTTCTTTTTCTCCTTTAATTCTTTCCAAATAGGCACGTTTTTGTTGGTAGAATATATTTAATTCGCCAAAGAGTTTGTGATTTCTCGTTACGGATGTAATTGGGACGGAATTATTAAAATGCGCGCGCTCGATCGAAGTGTTGAAAGTGAGGCGTGAAAAGAGAAGAGGTCTCGAAAAGTGAAACGAGGAGGAGGGGAAAAAAGGAAACGATTTCAGCTCGCGCAAACAACGGCCGTAATTCCAAATGTTTACGCGGAACGATTCAAATAACATTACTGAAAGCTCTTTTCATCGTTTTAAATCCACTTATAACACTGAATAATGTGATCCCCCGGCGCACACAATGCTGAAAATTAACAACACACGCCGAACATTAAAAACGGTGTATCGTTCTTGTCCCACGTTATTCACTCGGAACGTTGTTACAAACGCGGACGTACTTCATTAACGAAAACGTGCAGATTGATACGCGCGAAAAGCTAAAAACGCGAACGTGCCGCGCGTCGTAATGAAATCGCATGCATTAAAAAGAAAGCGGCTCGCCGACGCGACAGCAACCTACGCTCGCGCGTTAAACGATACACTTGCATCCTGCTTATATCAAACATTATTATATGCTTTTGAAATTTTCAGCTTGATATTTTTAATAACAGGCAAGGAGCTTAATGTTTCAATGCGTATCCCGATTTAAAATTGGAACGATTCAATTCTTTGCTTCTCGTGTTTTCTCTCTCTCTCTCTCTCTCTCTCTCTCTCTCTCTCTCTCTCTCTCTCGTAAGTAATTACCAAACGGTGGATTTTCCTGCGAATTTTGCAGAATATAATTAAAAACGTAGAAATATGGTGAAAAATTGATTAACACGCTAAATATTACAAAAAAGCAGAGAACTAAGGTAAATATTTTATCATGCTTTTTCATATCGCGAGTATTTCATGCAATTTCATACTTGTATATAAATACATGAAGATTCATTGTCTAGTAATTGTTTATGGTAGTTTACGATGCCTTCCGTCGCTTTGAAAATTTTTCGAGTGGAAACTTTCGAATTGAACTCTTTTAATTGATATTAATGTACAATTATGTAACGTTAATTATTAATTATTAATTGATTTAATAATGATTAATTAATTTATCGTTAATTAAATTAATATAATTATTAATTTAAATGTTATCATATTATATACGTTATGATATAATAAATTATTGTGCTATTAATTAAAAATATGCGAATTAAAATTTGATAGGAAAGCTCTCGATCGAATCGAGAAAAGGGTGTTAATGCCGATTAATTGAAATTAAGCAAGAAACATTTATCAATATGTACGACCGTTATCGTCATATTGCTGTCT